TGTAGAATGAAGTTGATGTGGTGAGACGAAAATAAACGATAAGAAAAACTTAAGAAAATATGTATATGATGGATGGGAGGAAACTCTATCAAATTTAAGCATAGAAGCATATGGGCGTATAGTAAAAATCTTTCTGCACACAAAGGTACGGCTACTTTCCAATCGAATGACAGAATGACTTCAAAAATACCTAAGTAGTTTCCGGTTGGTTGTATACATTAGTGAGTATGATCAAGGTGTACTGAATGAATGATGTATGAACAAGTTTCTTGCGATAATGACATGAAAACCTGGCATTCTGACTTAAAGCTTCACAACCCCAACAGGGAACGAACGAGGGACCTTAAGGTTACAAGAAGAGCTCGTATACCGTGGAGCCACTGTGACGAAATCCAATGGCTTACCAATTCTAACTTCTGCGAGTTCACTACGTATAAGCACGACAACCATGGGAAGTCGTGACCAGTGGGGTCCATCAAGTCTGGTGTTAGGAAAAATATCTGGTATTGGTTGGCGGTCATGCTGTGTCATCGTGAACTGGCAGAAGTTAGAATTCATATATCGGCTTTTGGATTACTTTTTTAGGTTGAATGGTGAATGAGCTCACTCTGCAACCTGAAGGTTCTGGGTTTGATCCCCGAGGGAGTGGGTTGTAGTTGCATACTGATGGAGAGTCTCAAACTAGGACGAAACACATGTCTAGTGTTATCTGGTGATCGTCAGTGGTCCCCTAGATGAATTCAGTTCATGATTAATCTTGAAATCAATCAAATCCCTGAAAACCGAAACTTGTGAATGACTATTCTGTTTATGTTTTAAACAGAAGACAAAAATATACTTGTATACATTTTTCAAAGATTTAAATTATATTCTAAAATGACCAAAATATTATTTATTTTTGGTTTTCTAACTGATTATTCCTATCTCTCTCTGAAAATCAGTGGTATTGTGGGTGAATGTGACCTTCGTGACCCTTGAGGCAGTTACTTTCAAAAAACAAGCAGACAAACAAACAAAACAGAATTAACTAATTTACGTGATAATATGCAGACATTTTCATAGTTAATTACATAGCTGGCAAAAATACTTTTTTGGAATGTATGTATGTACACTGTTGAATAGAACGACAAATTATTACATAGTAATTTTTAAGCGAAGGAATTTAGAAGACATCAGTTAAGGAAAAGCGTGGGTGGTATCATCGTATAAGCCTTTTTTTTATCTATCTCTCACTCTAACTACGATAATACCTGTGACTATTACGATGCTTATTCAGTGAAAACTGTGTCACCAAATAACAGCTTGAAAGTATTGATAAGTTATCAACCCCATAGTGAAATATACTATTAGCTGATTAAGGTTGCTTAAAGCTAGTCACGTTAACCAGTAGTGCTTGCTAGCTAGATTGACTGGACAGTGTCGGTCAGTGGTTTAGTGGCAGAGTCCTCGCAAACCAGCCATATGGTCCCAGTTTCGAACACCGGCCAATGCATGCCTAAACTTTATCTAGTTCGCTGGATGCGAGTAAGCTTGAAGAAGAGGGAAAGCTGGGTGTGACGCTATCAACTCCACCCCATAAAAACAACACCAACTAAGTATGGAGCTCTATGTTCAACTTGGAAGGTGATGAAGGGAATAATGCAAGAGAGTATTCTACCTCACATTTATTCTCAAGTTCACTCTTCAGTTGTGATGGCACTAAATAGTATGTTATACTGATGACATAATTATACTCTTTTTGAACAGAAATATGCAGTTATGTAGTGCTGAAAAATTTGTTCGTAACTGACTGCTAGTGAACAAATCAATACCAATATTATATTGTTATTACTCCCTTGAATACCAAATGGAATATAGGGCTTCAACACCATATCTCCATTTCGTTCTGCTCTCTACAGTTCACTTTAGCAGACTCCACAATTGCCCTCAAGCTTTCATTCCCTCCTCATATGATTGCCTTCATGTCAGTATCGAAACTATGCCCAACTCATTGTTTTTATTCGAGGGCCATGGCATGTGATATCACAAGAATGTTTCTTTGGGGTTCACCCAATCGATTCAGTTCTTTCTTCTTCATACCTGAGGGGCAATAAGTTTCCAGTGGGTTTATTGCCATAGTTTGTTGTTGCTTATCCTGTCTAGTTGGTCATCTGATCTTCAGTATGGAATGAAGGTTGGTGCTTATATATATATATATATATATATATATATATATATATATATATATATATAACAAATTTACTGTATAATGGAATTATACTCTAGCACAGTGCCAAATTTCTATTCTTATCTCAACGCATATATAGTAATGAATACTCATAGCTAATGTTCGAACTGAATTTTATTCATACTGATTGTAAACGCATCAATGAATGATAATATCAAAAACAGGGAGAGAAATGGGGTAGGATGTTAGAAGTATGTATGTGTGTGTAATTGAAAAGATTTGTCTATGCGGATGTAATCATAGGAGAAGAATTTAGGGGATTTGTATCCACAAGAAAGAAGATCTTACCTTAAAGTTATGACACAATACAGCATTTTTATGAATTTATGGACTCCACAACAGGCCAGAACAGCATTGATGGTTGGATCTGGATTTCTTTTGTACACAAGCGTTCTGCTGTTGCGGGTGGAGTGCTGTGAAATCTGGTGTTTGGAGTATTCGGTACTTAATGGCTTCAGAAAGTTTGTTTAATACATGATAGACAAAAGAATAGAATTCTTTTATGCTGGTCTGCTCGAGTTAGGTGCGCTTACTTAGAACTTTTAGTGCTTTTTAAATTAGCTATATTTGTTTCAAATTTCATTACGAATATAAACTGGAGAACAACTGGAAACCAGGGAGTATTGGATTACTGTTTTGTCCCACTTTTGGACTTCTCAGAAATATGCACTCATGATCTCACGGGGAGTAGAACCTAAGACCTTAAGGCTATGAAGATAAGCTTGTTGACAATTCGGACAGTTGGGCTAGAATTCAGTGACCCTTGCATTTTTACTACTGTTGGTATACATTAGATATATTCGTCTGTAGAATGTAGACTGGCTGATTTGAATTATGTGTATAATGATCACTAATAAGTTTGTTCTTACATTTCACTTTTCACTTGTTCAGTATGCAATTCGCACATTTGACTAGTCACTTGTTGTTCTTGTTGTTGCTGTGACAACATCTCAGTTTTCAATCGATAAAAGGCAAGATAGATGTTCACTGAAATATTTAGCTGTAAGCATATAACACAAAATAAATCGTAAAAGTTGAGTAACACATAATGAACCTTAATCAACATACAGTTTCGGTGATATTATGACCCCTTTACTGGGCTAGTAATCTAGAAGCTAATCTGATGCAACAGAGATTTTCATTTTGTCTTTAATTTTATAAGTCGAAGCATTCTATTAGTTCTGTCTTTATATATGTTCCTACAACAAGGAGTGAACTTGTAGAATTGGCAGAATTTCATATTCTTGTGGCTCTATGGTAGTGGATGACAACGGAGAGGATGAAATTATAAGTTCTGTTATAATTGAAGAGATATGGCAGTTTTTGTGTGATTTCATCGTGTCTCAACAGGATGGTTTAACGTAAATGCATTATGCACTTATCTGAATATTTCTGTGACTAGAATTCTCATTTCCAACTTAGCATTGCAACTGGAGTCAGAATCAGAATTGGGGAGAAATATCTCCTGGACTAACCGCATCACTATGTAAGACATTGATCGTATAGTCTACGTGGTAGCCAACTCATCATTATCATCCCAATCGCAGACTTTGGCGCGAAACGCTTCTCGTAGTATTCATGTTTTCACCTTTCTGTTCCCTCTTTCTCATGTTTTCACTTCGAACTGCACTCTGTCACACGGATAGATATGGCATAATGATATGTCTTACGATGTTGACTTTTCGTCTGTTTACCTATGACATTTTATAGATGGGCATGCAATAAAATTTTCTATGAGGTAATATATATTTGTTTATAGCTTCAACGGATTATTTCGCCTTTAGAATTCAGTCATAAAGTAATCTGATGTACAGTGAGAAACTAAGGCGTTATTTTTTAAGCATATGTGAATCAGCCGATTACACGTATAATCACCCATATATATATATATATATATATATATATATATATATATATATATATATATATATATATATGCCTGTTGTCTTCATCGAAGAGGAAGAAGACAAAGCAGGGTAACTGGAAACTATAATCCAGTGTTGACTAGCGGTGGCATCTAGGGTGTACATATCATCGTATTAGGGACTCGTCAACTGGGCGTAACGGCAATCCTTAGTGAGTGACGTTTTCCCCACTGAGTGATCGATATGAGTGGTTGGAAAACATTCAGCATTAATTCCTTTAATCACATAGATCTACTTTCTTCATGACATGTATGTGTCGTGTCAAGTTGGTCACAGATTGTAATGTGAATACTATAGGTTGACAAAGGAAACTGTGAACCTTAGTACTTGGGAATTATTCGGGATCCAGATGGTTTATTCATAAAATCTGCAACCACGGAACTTAGCATATTCCAGGACTAAATATCTAAAAAAATATCACATATTTTCGGTGTTACACTAATGAAGATTTTCTCACTCATCCCAGCTGTCTCGTAACGTTGGATATCTTGTGAACTCTTCACACTTTCATTACTGCACAATGATGATCAGTTTTGCCACCTCATTTCAGTTTGGCTTTCCAAAAATGGATAAGTACCATTCTGTCACAGACCCAGTGAGTGGCTTGCCTGTTAAACAGAAGACCCTAGGATGGATCCCCAGTGTGGTGATACGTTTGTACTGCCGAAAAGTCCCAAAACAGGACGAAACAGATGTCCAGCATTCCCAGATTTTCCAATGGTCCTCTAACTGATGTCAGTTCATGATGAAATCCTGAATTAGGAAAATTGGTAACTTTTTGCTAACAATCAATTTAATTCATTTTACAAAGTTCTCTTATGATATTTTGTTTGTTTCCACCTGAATAGGTATTGTAGCTGTGGACGGTTCATTGATATCACAAGAGATTGTCCTTGGAGCTGATCGGAACTATCAAAACACATTCAGAGGAGTTATTGGAGGTGAGTTAATATTTGTGTGAAAAAAACTGTTCACTTCTAGCGACTTTTGTTATTGGGACTGGTTGAAACTCATTGCTTTCATGATGATGAGAAAATGATTTTAGGTTAAAAAATACATCCTGTTAATGTGCTTTCTCTGGTCAAGAGATAACTAATTCCTCTTAGATGGATGAGGTAGTAGGGTAAAGTTAGGAAGGACCATGTCATTTTATTTCCTCACCCTTCCTTATATTCATTATGCAACATCGAGACGAATCTGTTTTTTTCAAAGTCTACATTTATTCATTGACACTGAGTAGTTGATATCATACCAACTTGCGGATTTACAAGTAAAGAGCAAACATTTGGAATGGTAACAGTAATGAAAGGAATTCAAGTGAATAACAGAGATAATGATGCGCGACTAACAACATAACAGCAATCGCCATCAATGGGAGAAATCTAAGGGAAGTCGACTCTTTCAATCACCTAGGTAGTAAAATTTCAACTACAAATTGGTGGAACGGATGTGGATTTCAAAGTCAACAAGGGTACAGGAATCAACGTATAATTGTCAAATCACTCTGCAAATCACAGCAATCACCACGTGGAACAACGACCGTATTCTTAATAATCTCGAATCAGTCACTGCTTTCATATAGTCCGGACACATGGGACGTCTAATGCCAAATACATTCCCAACAAACCACTGAAGACTTCCATCAACACCTAAACCATTCGCACCATACTCCACATCAGATGACCGGGAAGAAAGAATAATCAACATGGAACTCTGGTTGGTAACGAACCAACCAACAACCGATTCCCCAACAAATATGAAGAGAGAAGTGCAGGTGAATTGGATTTTACACGTTGAGAAGAGGGCTGATTGATATCACACGTGTGATTTTCAAATTGTGAGTTGAGTAGATATTATTGAGTTGGATGTCAGAGGGTGGATTGAGGAAGGCTATATGAAGAGTAAATGAAATGTCGTCGATAGTGGTGGAGCCGAATGAAAGTGATGGGAGGGAATTGAGTGAAATGAATAGGTGTCAGTGAAGTTCTCTGTCCTACTGGGAACTTAAAAAATGAATAATAGTGAAAAAGCTGACATGTTGAATTATACAAATGTCAGTTATCTTAAAGTAGTGATAGGCGTTTTACTAGTTTCTTTTACCTGTGAGTCTCATTCAATAAGAAATAAAGGTAACTAAGTAGATTTACTTCAAAGAATCGTTTTGTTCAGCAAAAGTGCATTCAAGAAAATAAAAAAAAGCATTCTCGTCTTTAGGTTATGTCCTTTTTATGTAAATGATTGTTTAAAAATGAAAAGTTGCATTGTTCATGGGTGGTTCAGCAGTATCGGATCCTAGCCAACCACGCGCATCGTTCGAGTTAATTCCTCACCGAGCCACCTCTAAACTTCGCCTATCTTACTAATCGACAGTAAGCCTAGAAAAGAAAAAAGTTTGGGCTTCAAACTAACAACACCACACCGTAAAAACAATACCAGTACTAAAAATTCAGTGCTGACATTATTCTTATATCGATATGCTTAGTTGGCTCAAGCAATTTTCAAGTGTTATGCCTTTTGTGAAATTGTTGACTTAACATTCTATTAAAACTGGTTAATTTATTTCTTATCAAAGTTAATCAGTAATTATCAATTTATTTCTTGAGGTCAGAAATGTGCGTTAATCAATAAAAACAAAAGTAAACAACAAACAAACAAATTCTTTTAATTCACAATATGCAATTACTTTGGCAAAATTTGAAAACACAAACCGAACTTCTTCAATTACGATTGTTATCACTATCGCTGCCTTAGACGCTGAGTGGGACTTACAGATTCGACAGCATATATCCATTTCAGCCTATTCTTTGCAGTCGCCTGTAGGTTGCTGAACGACTGATCATAAGCTCTCATAACCTCCTCACACTTTCTCCTCCATGTTACTTATGCACGCACGTCTAACTCTTCGTCCCACTTGAGGGCCTCGTGCGTGATGTCACTCAGTGGCACCCTCAGTATGTGTCTGATCCATCTCCATTTCCTTGTGCATATTTGTTGCACGATATGTTCTTGGTTGGTTCGTTGCCCGTCAGTGTTCCTTGTTGTTAATCCTTTCTGGTCAGTCATCTGATCATCAGTAGGCAGCTGTTGAAAAATGTCTGAAACCTGTTAAAAATGCTTTTCGTGACATGCCAAGTCAACGAATCATACACAAACTCTGACTGACTTGACATTTATGTTGAAAATTTGAATCTTTTTCTTAATGCTGAGTGAAGCGGATTTCCACACTGATTTCAGATTAATTAAGGCCAATCTCGCCTTTCTGATCCTGACTTTGGAATTTTCATCCGTCCCCGCTTGTAGCTGAAACACTGGAGCCTGGATAAATGGAAGAGATAACTTCCTTCAGATCTCTCCCATTGATTAGTGCTTGTTATTGTCGCTCGGTGGGTATCTTCATCGCCTCTGTATTCTCTATGTTCATCTGGAGTCCTGTGTTTGTTGCCATACACCTCTTGTTGGTTTTTGATTTGTGGATCATAAATCATTCGGCAAGCCCATATCTTCCACGGTCTTCTTGTCGGCCTAACATATTCCTGTCTTCTCGCTCCTCGAGGTCTGTTGCATGATGTTCGCTAAACTATGCACGAAAACATCTCATTGAGTCTTTTATGCCGCCCTCTTTTTTATACGCAAGTCAGTAACAAAAAACATTACGACAAAATACGTATATTTTCTTCGTTTTTTGTCCATGTTTCATATGACCGCCTCAGTAAGTACTAATCACCATTCCTATTGTAACTGCGACTAATGGCAATCATATTACTATGCATTCTTCCAAAATATAGTCGTAACAAAGTTTTATTGTCTAAAATATATAAGGTGCGATCACATCGTCAGTAAAGCAGAACTCCATTTCTATTGGTCTGTTTTAACTGTTTTTATTTTTAGACAGTTTTTGTCGCAATGAAATCTAGGAATAGTACTGAATGCAGTTACAAACAACCCAACTATCGGATGGTATAAGGTGACAGTCTTAAAATCTAATATAATAGACTGCAAGCAGAGATTCATAATGGAGGCTTTATTTGTCGGAATAACTGAGAATACGCGCAGTAAGAATGATTCACTAACTGTCCGCATGGACAACTACAAAATTCAACTACTCCTACGAAAACGGTGAGGAAGGAAGATCAAAACTATAAAAAACAAGTTTTGAAGTTGTGTAGTTAAGTAATTGGCGATGTGTTTATGAACAATAAGTTGCGCTTGAAACTATGTCATCCAGTAAAAATAATGCTGTTCGCTTTGTGACATATTAAATAAACAACTTAATATGGTTATTTTAGCACCTAGAAGAGGCGCGATTGTATAGTCCGACAAGGAAAGTGTTAAGAAGAACTATTTATGTGATATATATATATATATATATATATATATATAAGACTCTAGGACTTTCACTCAATTGTCATAGGAATGAGTAAAATGTGTGTGTTTGTGTGTGTGTGTTCCGTAGACAGCATCGTCTTAATAGTTGCTTAATTAGGTCTTTTCATTCTATTTCTCTAGCTGTAATAAAAAATAAAAAATAAAATAATAAAAAATTTCTCATCATGGTAAATTAAAGAGTGGGAACAGATGGTCATTATGATGAAGCAAAGTAAGAAGAATGATTACCTTGTTGCTAAACAAAACTCACTAAAAGACCTGCTTGATGTATCCACTGGCGTTTGCCACCGACGATGTGTATTATTATTTATTATTTTGGTTCCAAGAGCAACATCTGAAGCTTCACTGACACCTATTCATTTCACTCAATTCCCTCCCATCACTTTCATTCGGCTCCACCACTATCGACGACATTTCATTTACTCTTCATATAGCCTTCCTCAATCCACCCTCTGACATCCAACTCAATAATATCTACTCAACTCACAATTTGAAAATCACACGTGTGATATCAATCAGCCCTCTTCTCAACGTGTAAAATCCAATTCACCTGCACTTCTCTCTTCATATTTGTTGGGGAATCGGTTGTTGGTTGGTTCGTTACCAACCAGAGTTCCATGTTGATTATTCTTTCTTCCCGGTCATCTGATGTGGAGTATGGTGCGAATGGTTTAGGTGTTGATGGAAGTCTTCAGTGGTTTGTTGGGAATGTATTTGGCATTAGACGTCCCATGTGTCCGGGCTATATGAAAGCAGTGACTGATTCGAGATTATTAAGAATACGGTCGTTGTTCCACGTGGTGATTGCTGTGATTTGCGGAGTGATTTGACAATTATACGTTGATTCCTGTACCCTTGTTGACTTTGAAATCCACATCCGTTCCACCAATTTGTAGTTGAAATTTTACTACCTAGGTGATTGAAAGAGTCGACTTCCCTTAGATTTCTCCCATTGATGGCGATTGCTGTTATGTTGTTAGTCGCGCATCAGTTCAGGTGAAAGTTAAGTTCTTCACTCACTACAACCGAAATAAATTATTAAATAAATTGTGAGGGGAAGTTTGAAAGGCAATTCAGTAGACTGTGATAATCATTTCAGCAAAATGCTGACTCTTTTTAAACTGTATTTTTGATTTCGAGCTAAAAGACTACTGATATTCTTAGTAGTCCGCTGTGAATGTGCATGTATTATATAGCATAACTGCAGCCGTTTTTGGCTCTTACTGATGAATATTTAAAGCAATGATCAGTTATCACTATCACTGGAGTGTTTACTTCGCCTCCATCACGTTATACGCGAATATGTTTATTTATTGTCTACAGAGGTAAACGTGAGGACATTGTTTACTGTATCAGTCATATTGACATAAATTTAAATGAATCAATTCTTATTGTTTTGATTTATTAATTTTAGTCAATGGATCAACACTGAACAGTTTTATATGCGCTGTAGTACTGACTAAGGGATTAACAATTCTTTGCTTATACTGAATTAATTACATACAGTGTATGTAATTCAGTCACGTTTCATAATATCTTCAATTACGAACTGAATTTTTTTAGAGAAACAAGAAGGGGCAGACAGTTTTTTTGTTCGAGTTTCAGAATCTTTCCGAGCACCGCACACTCATGACCACTCCTCAAGGCTGAGAGCCTACGTTACCAGGACAGCATGTCATGACTCAGCTACTGGATTTGAATTCAATGGTCCAGGAATTCTACTTTCTATGCTTTATCATATGTTGCTTGTTTAAACAAACTAATTTTGTATTATTTTCCCTCTCTATTTGCTTTCTATAATACAAAAGCTTTCTACTGGAACGGTCAATATCTAATTAACGAAGTTGGCTCACTTGTATCCGGTGCTAAAGTCATGTCAGGTCCAGGAAGAAATGTTGCTAAAAATATGGATGAAATTGTTGTCGTCCTTATGCCAGAATTACTTAAACCCAGTACACCAGTACGAAAACCAGACACTGGACCATTGCCTGAAACTCTGCCTAAAGGTATTATAAGCGGTGGTGTTGTTATGCCTGGATTGGGTACAGGGAATGCTGATCTTGGAGCACCAATTTTCGTATCGGGTAAGTTTTTTATTTAGTTGCTTCATTTCTTGAACAGAAGGCGTTTATGCCTACAAACAAATTAGTTAACAGATGAATGTATGTATGTATATATGTATGTGCGTATATGCGTGTACGTGTGTATTTTATGGAGTACCTCAAAGCATTATCAATAAGATTCAATATCCATATGGTGGTGCCACGTGTCAAGTGATTCACAAAAGTAAGTTTGGTGGAAGCGTTTGGAGTAAAGACAGGAGTGCGACAAGATTGCTTACTATCACCAGTGATATTCTTGATTGTGGTGGACTGAATCACGCGATAGACGTGAATGGAGAACCAGAAGACAGGCATACGCTAAAATGACAAGAAGACTCTAGAAGTTTGAACTTCGCGGATGGTTTATGTCTAATAGTCATACAAACTCGATGACTTGCAGGCAAAAACCAACAAACTGGCAGCAGAGACATGCAGTGGAGATAGGATTTCAAATGAACATAGAGAAGACAGAGGAGTTGAAGATAACCAACATTAAGAACAACAACAAACACCAATCAACGTAAGAATTCGAAAGGCGGCAATTCCTTAACTTATCTAGGCAACATCGTTCTAACTACAGGCTACAGAGTGGATGAGGAAGTCAAGGCCAGGCAGAACAGACCTTCATCACTCTGGAATCAGTTCGGAGGTCCGCTACACTCAGCAGAAAGAACATGATTCAAACTTTCAAAAATGATATCAAATCAGTTCGTCTATATTTTTCTGACACTTGGTACAGCTATCACCAAAAACATTTCAATCACGCTGCAAGCCTTTGTCATCAGCTGCCCATTTCACTGCATACTGAAGATCACATGACCAACTAGAAAGGAATAGCGACAAAGGACAATGAAAGGCAACAAACCAGCCAAGAACCTACTGCCCAATAGGTTTGCATAAGGGAGTGGTGATGGATTGGTTATACACTGAGGAGACCCTTGAGTGAAATTACCCACCGGGCCATCACTCGAGTGGAACCAAGAGTGACATGGAAGAGGTTGTGTGAAGAGGAGATGAGAACTTACGGGTAGCTGTATAGACAATTAAAAATGAATTCAGGAAACAGGATGATATGGAGATATGCTGTTGGATCCCTATGTTCCACTTGGAGCCAAAGGGAATTATTATAACACTATAAGCAACATACCATTATATTCTTATTAAAAATATCATTAATATAAACTGTTATAATTTAGACCATCTGAAACATGCTTGAGCTGATGTAATGAGTAATGACAGAATAATTTAAATTGTCAACCTTATAAGAAGCTCTACAAATACAGTACTGAAGTTGACGCTTAGCCGTTAACACGAAAAGCTCTTAATATGACGAAATCTTAGGCGATAGAATTCACAACACATCATCTATAAATATAAACCATAAATTATTGATTCCACAAACCAAACAGTTCAGTTAACAAGAGCTGGATTAGATATTCAGAATTTCAGCACATCTATAAGTTAACAGCCGACATCATTCATAAGTGACGTGATTTGAAGTATGAAATTATATTTTCTTGGAATTGAAGTTGTTGTAGTTATTTTTAGCCAGGTTTTCACATACTTCCTTATCTCACACTATGTTGCGCTTGAAACGTTCAGGGCTAAATGTTGAGTCAGAGAGGCATTCTTCACAAAAAGGAATGAACTTAACTTATCGCGCTTAGAATTACAATGGAAATCAAATCGCGTTATAAGTTTCAAATTTTGTAACTTAATTTTATCCTTTTACAAGCTTATCCTAATTCAGGCAGGACTGTTGGTCATAACAGACAGTGGCATGCAGTGGTTAGCCCATATTTCAGTAATCTCAGGTGGTCAGAATACACTACCTCACCAACCGATCTGTCTTTCAAGTGTTGGTTTACAGGGATTTGATTGGTTTCAGGATTTCATCATGAACTGACATCGGTTATCAATCTGGTGCTCACTAGTGACTGGCTCTATTCAGGAGGGCAGTTACCTGGGTTTTAGTGGGGAGTCGTGACCAGTGGGGTACAGCAGGTCGGGTTTGAGGACAAATACTTGCCAGCGATGACATTTCTTAGTGGTCGCATAAGATCATGAAGTGGTAGAAGTAGGAATTCATGGACCATCGGATCGGGTCCCAGTGGCCTAATGGTCTACGAGCTCGATCGCCTTGTAACCAGAAGGTCATGGGTTCAAATCCTGGCGTTGGGTGAATACTTTAGCGAGTCCCAAACTAGGACGAAATAACTGTCCAGTACTCCTAGATTTTCCAATGGTCCTCTGACCGATGTCAGCTCATGATGAAACCCTGACTTGTCCTATTTATCATTCTACAAACAAGGATTTAGTAATCTACCTCTCCCTCCACCTACCTATAATACTTTTTAGAACCGTAACTCTGTCCCATCTTATCGTATGATTGTGTGTTAATGTATGCACCTCAATTTCTGATTTTCTCTTTAAATTATTCATCTTCGTGGGATCAATGAATCTTATGTTCCAGTAATCTGACTACTCCTGAGTTTCTGGTCTGACTTGTGTAGTTGGCTTCGGAATCATTGCAGGCTATTTTGTAGATTACATTACTTTGTTTAACCGAGTGAGAGCTTGTCCTTGAGTGAGATTATAGGTTTATATGCCACCCAAATTCCTGCCTTATTGAGAATTCTACGTAGGGTTTCAGATGTTCCTCCTTTGTATGTGGTAAAACAGCAGATACCTTAAACTCTCCGTAAACTTATGTTGTCCTCAATAGTTCCACTAATGTTTTTCCATTTCTTTTGAGCTTTTGTGATCTCAATGGATTTTTATGAGATATTTGGTCATTTAGCACCAGCGCTTCTTCTTCTCTCTGTTTCATTCCACTATCGAGGGTTTCTAATATAATACTTAGATTTATTTTTGAGTTTGTTAGTAAATAATATTGTATCATTCGCTCTGTCATTTTATCAAGTAAATTTACTCTGTGATGGAAGTATACTTGAGTGTACCTGAGTGCGAAATTTCCATCCTCATATCGATCGGTTGGCCGTGTTCACTGTTCTCACGTACTCATTTTGGTCACTACAATAGGTTTGTTAATTCAGTTATCCTAATATTCGTTTTTTTTATAAATCTGTATACATTTAGATGGTAAAGCTTACGGTGCTGGTGCAACTGGTATCAATCCTGGCACTGGACTTATCCTTTCACAAGCTGGTGGATTATTCGGTTTAGGCGGTGCTATGGTCGATGCATTATTGGCTGGACTATTATTAGCTTTATTGTTATTAATCTCTGCGCTAATATGGGCCTGTTGGAGATGTAAACCTGGTTGTTGTGGTTGGTGTGCTGGTAAATCAAGTCGTATTGGTGGACGTAGTGCATGGGATAGATTAGCTGCAGTATGCTGTGCTGCACCTGAAAGTGCAATAATTGGTAAGTGGGATTGACTGTCTCATCGGTTTGTATATATATATATATATATATATATATATATACCTTTTGCTGAATGATGTTTTTGAATTTTGAATTAGTAATCAAGAGTAGAGTTAACTGAATGAAATAATCTTTTCTATTCACCACATCAGTGGTGGTGTGAATTTTAACTGTCATGAGTAGAATTTTCAGCAGTATAGTTCTAATAAGGAATTTAGGAAAACAGCATTTCTCTAACTCCATCATAGATAAAATTTTATTTTGATAAATCGCACAGTGTTGTACAGTAACACTAACTGATGACCTTTCGAGCACAAACTATTACCCATAATCATATCAAGTCACTCACACAACCTTTTACTTCATTCATATACATGAGTGAAATTGATTAGACATTTGAATAAAAATCAATATAAGATAATGTACATTCACGAATAATATTAGTGTTATCAATCAAATACAATCAGATGGGAAATAAGACGAGTGCTTTTGTGGTCAAAATGAGTAACTTGTTAGAATGTTTTGAGGTGTTTAAATTGAAATAGAATTTTAAGATTATTATCCTCCTCTGATTTGACTGGTGGTAATAATATCTTCCATATCTTTGGTATTTGCATTGAGTCATTTCCGTTGCATATGTTGAGTGTTTCGAGAATCTCACTACTCCTGATCTACTAGTTTAGAATTTAGCTATTGTTGGAATGGTTGACCACGAGAAGATAAGTAATTTAGAAAAAATAGTCAGCAATAGCACCGCATACATTAACACAACCACACAACAGGGTAGGACAGACTCGAAATTCTAAAAACTAATATAGGGAGGTGGAGAGAAAGATTGATTAATGAATCCTGGTTTATCGAGTCTACACGCAATAAATACAACGGAAATGACTCAATGCAAATACCAAAGATATGGAAGATATTATTACCACCAGTCAAATCAGAGGAGGATAATAATCTTAAAATTCTATTTCAATTTAAACACCTCAAAACATTCTAACAAGTTACTCATTTTGACCACAAAAGCACTCGTCTTATCTCCCATCTGATTGTATTTGATTGATAACACTAATATTATTCGTGAATGTACATTATCTTATATTGATTTTTATTCAAATGTCTAATCAATTTCACTCATGTATATGAATGAAGTAAAAGGTTGTGTGAGTGACTTGATATGATTATGATTAATAGTTTGTGTACAACACTGTGTGATTTATCAAAATAAAATTTTATCTATGATGGAGTTATACTCTACTACAGTGCCCGAGTTTTATACTTACAGCATTTCGCTAAGTTCCTACAACCATTGCAGGATTTACAAAGAATATTCGTACATTTGATGCATTTCCTGAATGACTACAGTATCGGGTGCTAGTGAGAAGTAATGGTCACTGAGGTGAAGTACTAGCTAACGACACTGGCTGGAGCTTGCGCTATATTAAATATCATGAAGTGGCTGAAGTTAGAATTCATGGGTTGGTCATTGGTTTCTGTCTCAGTGACTGAATGGTCCCTCATCTCTCCTTGTGAACTGAAAAGCTGAGTTTCTTCCCCACTCATGTTTTACATAGGTACAAAACAGCTGTCCAGTAATACTTGGTTTCCAATGTTTCTTTTGTTTCATATCCTTTTGATCTGTACAGTGCTTGAACCCTATAGAAACTTGTCGTTCGAATTTACTGTGATTACATGTATCCAATAAGGCGGAGTTTAAAATGTTGCCTTGAAGTAGCCTGTATAGTTTTAAGTGTGAACAACCAGCAAACAATATAGGAAAATATTCTGACTTTCCAACCACTTCGCCTTCACTAGATTCTCTTATTCATTATGAAAGACCACATTATTAACTTTCTAGAAACAAACGGGATTCTTTGGTTCGACATTAAGTAGCAATTAATATTATGCGTCTAGTCCTTGGTGTTGATGCAGACTGTCAAGTTTGCAGTGAAACCACCATGAGAGATGGCTATCCATCACAGCTCACTCTGAATTGTTGTCAGATGGATGTAGGCGATCAGAAGGAAGCCTAATCGGACCTAAGTTTCGTGTTTGTCGATATTCACCAGTCAATCCTGAGGAAAATAATGCCCCTCCTAAGATTTGAACTGGGGTCACACAGTGATGAAGTTAGAGACATTACCACTGAGGTATTCAAGTGCGTGGCTGACCTCCTGTAGGACTGTAGTGAATTCTTTGATTGGAAATTTTGATTTGAAACTAATGTGACGTATCTAGTCCTCACCTCCAACCATCTAACAACAATTTAGATTGCACTGTGATGATGGTGAGCCACCTATCATGTTGGTCGAATTACAAACCTGACTGATAGAATCCAGTCTGCACCAACACCAAAGCACTATATGCATGGCAAGAGTTACTATCCAATCGGAGAACAGGGCTCTAATATTTCATACGAAAAAAAATTGCTGATCTGTTTTCCAGAAACAAAAGCTTAAATGTTTCCACGTAAATGTTACAAATTACTTGAAATTATTGGTGTTCTTATGATGATTATTATTATTCTCAGTGATGTCGAAATTCTGTAATAATTTCTCCTTTTGCCTATTTTTGTAGCGTTTGTGACTGTGTAAATATACGATTTCGCCAAACTGACATATAGCTTAAGAAGCCTTTTTTTAGAATAAGGTGAAATAAGTTACAATAACACAACTAAAGAAAACAGTTTTTTGACATTCACAGTATTAAAAAGGAGATTTTTCTCCGACGTCTGATATAAGGTAATGTAAAGATAAATAATTCGGAACAATGATGAAAAAAAGTTTAAAAATTAACAATTCACTTGAGGCTTATGTTCGCATCAATTTGATTTATGCTGATACATGTATGTATGTAAATAAGATAATGACTTTCGAATTATTTGATATTGTGCTTTGAAAGTTTGCTGAAATCCGATTGGTTAAATATACCTTCAAGGTTACACTCAAATATTCAACTGTTACTGTATTTGTTATAATGAAATGACTGAAATGTGGACGAAAATAAATGACTATCATGAATTATGAATATAACTGAACAGAATTATGTTGAGTAAATTATTCTTTATTTCAAAGATTCGGAAATCTAACCTAAATTGACAAAGCGAACGAAATTTATGAGATCTGGAAGTTTATACGCAATTAAGAGATCATTTTAGACTGAATTCCCGAAGTGTGGTTGTTATGTTGCCACATAAATTGACGATAATCATTGTTATTGTCCATTTATATATCACTTAGTGTATCACAGTAGTCACTGGCGTTTCACATTTCGGCAGTCATCATAAATCCACTAGGAGTGATCAGTCACAATACTTGTGTAAACATCCTAAGTGACTATTTTAAAAGAATACACTGCTTATATCACTTGGCATGATAAAAATACGTCCACGTCTCCACGGTCACGTGATTCTAACATATGTGTTTTGGGTTCGAGTCCTGCTTCACTTATTACAGCCTAAGGGAACCAGAAAAGTATGACTCATGGTTAGCTGGAATATGTTTTTCGTCAGATAGGTTAAAAATTAATTACCTTACTGTGTATACTGTCCGGAAAATAGTACCATGGGAATGCAGACAAAATGGTGCCGTAATAACACGAAATTTGTTTGCTGTTTTTAGAGACAGTCTACCTCTTAAGCGAAAAATATTATCTAAATATTTTATTGCTTTTTTTAAAATTTTTTTTTCTAATAGTAAAAGAGAAGAAACACTTATTGGTGAGTGAGATGTGTAGTCACTTTTTGTATTTGTCATTATTTCCCTTTCACTGTAGTTTTATTTCAGTGCTTATATATATGTATATGTATCATAAAGAAGATTTGTAGCTCATGTAGATGATTTTCATTTAGTTGTGTTCTCTGAACTGGGTGACTTAATTGTAATACTTTCTTTGTCTCTCTAAACAACATCTTCAGCGAAAGTGAAATCCACTTGGATTTTCGGTTGACTCAGTTCACTTAAACTCGCCTAGTTTACCAGCCAGCAGTATGACTAGAAAGGAGAAAAAGTTAAGCTTGAGGTAGTAACCTCACCTCTACGGATTTCTGAAAAGCATTAGGGTGGAAATGTTCCACTTGGAACGTAATGAATGAAAATACATCAATAACTGTTTTGTTGTTAAAAACAACTGGGTGTCAGGCTTATTGTTAATTGTTGCAGCAAGTTGTATCTGCAACTATCGAAGGAAGTGATATCCTCTCGGAGATTCCAATCCACATTATTCAGAGTTCTAGTCAAAGCAATTAACATAAGGCTTTTAGGGCTCATGATTGATTATTCCCTATTGGAATTTCGTGGATAAGGTGATTGGTCACTGTAGCGGGATGTTGTTTTTCATCAAAGTGAACTAAATATAAACATAATGGAGGTGTGAAGTAAATTCATTTCATTTTGTCTATTCTTTATCCTTTCACTTGAGCTCACACACACACACACACGGAATCGAAAGCTCATGAAGAATCTGTTAGCTGAATCGGCTTAATGATTAAATAAATTAAAGAGATTTTGTGAAATAATTTATTCCCAATATTTTCACAAAAATTGAAAATGAATAACTTAAGCTAAACGATTTAAGAACAGTTACTCCTTAACTCTGCCCAGCCTATAGTAAGTGCCATAAAAAGGGAAAGCTGGGCCATCTTAAAAGTAGCAGCTCTGCCCCATAAAAAATAACACCATTGCCACTGAAGACTCAAAGCTGGAAGCTCTGTGTTCTGCTTGCAATTCAAAGGAATAACGAAAAATGAAGGTAGGAACATGAAACCTAGAACTCATACTGGATTATACTGGTTATTGTCTTAGTAGAGATCGGTAGAATAGTGAAGAAGAATGCAGATTAGATAATAACCAATGTCATATGTCTATAATGAATATATCCATTACATTCCAACAGGTGGTGGTCAGTCTTGGGTTTGAAAATCTTAGTGATAACATCTCCGACTGCTGCACTGAGTGATTCTCCAAGTTTATTAAAGCTGGCAGATATAACTTGCTGTGATAAATGCCAAAACCTCCTAAACCTAGGTTCAGAGCTTTACGCTGATTACTTACCGACAACTACTCAACATATCTTATTCTGTTTTGTTCCAATTTTTCAAATTTAAGAACTAGATCAACTAGTAGATTTTAGTGTTAATTCAAATCTGTGTTTCTAAATATACCAATAACATTATATTTTTATTAGAAATATTCTTATGAAATAAAGTTAACTGAACACATATTGGATTTAAAATATCACTGACCACAATTTGAATTCAAAAGAACAGAATGCTGTTTCATGCTGCGCATATTATACTGTTTCAATTTACCCTAGATAGATAACCGTCTAAACTAGGTTATTATCTTGACGCTTTAACTTGAATGGAATGACCTGTGTTGAGTGGACCAGTGGTAGAGTGCTTGCCAACCTCATATGCAGTCAGAGTTCGTATCCTGGCCGGCGTAATCCTATACATCACCTAGTTTACCGCTGAGTTGTATGCCCAGTAAAGGGAGGAAGTTTGGTGTGATACTAGCAAATCCACCCTGTAAACAACACCACGGCTACTGGAACTTGAAAGCTGAGATCTGGAAGCGCCATGTTCTACTTGGAACTCAAGAAGTAGAAAAATTAGAGATAGTTTCTACATTAGCTGAGTCTTTGTTAAAACATGATTTTTATTTCTTTTCTTCAATTGCAGAGTGATAATGGGAACGGCGCTATAGTTGATGGAGGAGTGGTAAGTTTCTGTGTAGCCAACTTTTTTAAAATTCCTTTTGCTGTTCATGGATATTAGCTGCAGTAGTTAAATCCAGGATACCTTTTGTTTTCGTCCCGTTGGAAAATCATAGGATGGACGCACAAGCGATTTCCTTGTCTGTTGAAACAAAGTTTCTAAAGTATATATTATCATTATTTGTTCTCACGCCAGTTTCGATTTTCTTGTTAATTGATTGGACCGAAATGTTCAGCCTGTGTCCATCTGTCGGAAGCTTCGACGACGTCCGAAAAGGAACTTGAAGTAACTTGGTGAATCCAGTGGTCTAGTGAATAATGCTTTGACGTTTGGAACAGTGGGTTGGAACCCCATTACTCACTGGGAATGAGTGTACGCCTAAAGAAATGATAATAATATAATTATAATAATCACTTTATTGAGCATCTTGGATTCCACTGCTGGTTACAGCCCACTGAATAGCTGTATGTAATTCAAGAGGAAATCTATAGTGCAGAATAAGTTGAAGCGTTGTTGTAAAATGGAGAAGACTGACTAATGAAATTCATTACTATGGGGTAAATAATAGCATCATTAGCAAGAGTAGTGATAAGTGATATATGTTTATCAACGATATCAAGAGTTTTAAACATGTCCATACGCAAATACTGTCAAGTTTATTACGACGTGAATGACATCAATAAGCCTTGCAAAAATAGACATGTGGAATTACTAACTTGCAAATTGTCCTAATTCACATTTAATATAAATTATATTTGTGTACTCTTCAACTGTTATTTGAATGAAGAGTAGATAAACAGGATAAATTAAAGGGGAAGGGGATATAACCACTGACTGTCAAAGTAAATCAATCAACTGAAGTAGAAACATCTCTTGAAATGTGCTTGTTTGTTGCTACTTGCAATTAATGATTTCCTGAGTTGGAATTCGCTCACCTCTGTTGACGTTTTTTCTACTTTTAAAAGTAGGTTACTTTCAATTTTATTTAGACATTACGCACTCAGCAGTGCCACGATAGCAGAGAAATTCAGAAAACAAAGAGATATGAAAACTAGATCACTGTATTGATTAGAACCCAATAATATTTTATAATTTCAGTTTTTTTTTATTAATTTATTATTATATTCGACAAATGTTTTTATATATCTGTTTTTTTCGGTACAGACTGGTGGAATGACTGCAACAAGTCTACAATCCTTACAAACTCACTCACGCATTGTTAAACCACCTTTATCAGTGACAGGTTATCCTATTGGACATAGTCATAGATTAGATCTTGGAGACCAGTGAGTTTCTTTATTTGTTCATGCGTTTATATGCGTGAATTTGTTGTCATCTCTTTTTGTATTCATTCACAATGCATACAAAATTAAAAGAGTGTGGGATGTGTCCTTGGAGAATTTCAGAATGCTTCTAATCACACCTGCATTCCTTTGCATTCCAAGTCAAACACATCGTTTTATGCTTGTGAAGCTTTGGTGGTAGTGATTTTCGTTGATCTTTACGGGGTGGGGTTGATAGCTTCCAGCTCAACCACCCTTCTTTCCTAGTCTCAATATCCGCTAGTAAATTACGTGAGGTCTCAGAGTGTTCCCGGGAATTGAACCGAGACAGTGTGCCTGGTTGGTGACCGTGATATCCTTGAATTACCAACGCGTGATCATGCTAATCACTAGCAATATATATATATATATATATATCTTCGGGGTTGTTTGAGTGATTCTGTCTGTTCGAGATTTCATTCTTTATGTCTGAAAGAGCAAAATATATAGTGTGGAGGTTTTTTCTTTGGTAGAAATCGAAATTGAAATGACACATTTTTTTCCTTCACGTTCCCCAGTGGAACATAGGGCTTCAAGCTAGTGGCTTGAAGTTTCTGCAGCAGTGTTTATTTTTACAGGATGGGATTGCTAGCCTCATGCCCAACCTTTTCCTCTTTACTAGCATTATTTCTGGCTCAGCGAGGTAAAGGAGTACGCCGACCGGGGATCGAACCCCGGACCATGTGCATGGTCGGCGAGCGTCCTAACCGCTATACCACCGACGCACATTAACTGTGTATTACCCTTAACATGAACTGAAAATTTGTTTTCAACCCCTGTTCTTTTCCGTTACATTTATACCTCCTAATTCTGTTTGGTTTTCTATGAATGGAGTGGGAGAGACAGCGCATCCTTTAGTTTTTGGGAAAATCATGACCTTTGGATTATATGAAGGCCGAGTAATTAGAACGAGGATAATTCGAAACCAAATAATAACTTCAACTTACATCAAGAAATGACAGCAGCTAGAAAACCATAAAAAATCAGGGAGTACTTAACAACTGTTTTGTCCTGCCTTTGTACTCTTCATCAGTACACACCCGTGGCTCCAATGGGGCTCGACTCTTGAGCCTTCAGTTTACAAGTTGAGTTCGTTGCCCACTTGCTCTGGAAACCACTGGACCGTGAATTTTATTTTTTGTAAATTAGTGAAATGACAATACTCTCAAACGATACCTTCAATGAGCAGCCTTGAGACTGTGGACCCCACGGACCAAGACAGATTCTTGACATTCATCTATTAATCATGAACAACTTGGAGAATGATATTCCTATTATGAGTGGTGAAATGTACATTGAAAATAACCCAAATCCCTACAAAACCTCATGATATGAATATCATTCATGTGTTGATAATATTAGACAAAGAGAATACTACACTCTCTGTTTGAATAACACTGCTTATTCACTGAACATATTCATTCAGTGCTTAGGTCGTTAATGTTAGGAGGAGAGAAATTTAATTGCTTTCACAGAAATGTGTCTGAAAAATGTATGTTTTATAACATAAAACTGTTAGAAATTAAATCTAGATATTAACATCGTCAAGGATATTGAATTGAATTTTTGATTTTCCCGTCGATTGATTGGACCGAAGTGCTCGGTCTCAAGAAGCCAACATGTCAACCTGAGACCGAGCACTTCGGTCCAATCAATCGACGCGAAAATCAAAAATTCAATTCAATAATAATATGACCTGTTGCACAAGAGGCGGCTCTCGTGGCCCAAGTGGTCTAGTGGATAACGCTTTGGCGTTTGAAACTATGGGTACTGGCTTCGAGCCTCGGTGGGAACGTCATCACTCACTGAGAAATGCAGGTACATCCAGTTGACGAATGCCAAATAGGACGAAATGCGCATCCTGGATTCCACTGCTAGTCGCCATCCACCAATTAAATCGTAAAGGATATCTTGTCCTTATGCAACTGTATAATATAATACACTTGTGATTTATCCAGTTCACTCTTACTTCATATTGTATATAACTTGTATCCCGTTGGGGTACTTTTACCTGAATATATTTACGCTTTAGATAAATTCACATGTTTTAACTAATAAATAAGCTGAACATTTGTCACTTTAAATGTTGAAGCTACTACTTAGTAGGCTACGTATTTACTGTGATCCATTAGTTTTCCAAATGAATAAATTGTCATGCCCATTGAAAACGGAAGATATGAGAAGGATATCTGTCTCTGACCAAATATGTCTGCGTTTTGTCTTACGTTTTAAGCGGTACATAATGGTAAGTAATGTCAAGATTAGATGAAGAGTGCTAAGTAAAAGAGATGCATGGTAAATGTAGAGGTTGGACTAGTTTTTTGTGAACCTATAGCTCCGGCTTCTCAGTGCATATTGAGAGGGCTTCTGTATAAAAAAAATTCAGAAACATTGTCTTTGATAGATTTTTGTTCACTTTGTAGATGACTCTTAATGGTGAGTTAGTTGTGGTATTATTATACGAGCTAACAAGGTGTTCAACTGTAGCGCTTTATAATGAACCATTGCCGCACATAGGAGTGGTCATATGTGAGTGTTTGTCACCTACATTACTTAGAAACAGTGGGGGGCTGGAGAATATCACTTTTAATGTTGCCGCAGCAAATGCCTTCTTTAGGGAACTAGAGTATCTCCACTCTAAGATATTTGCCACTAAGTCTCGCCTGAAGTCCAGGTTCATGGACGGTGTTTTTTCCCCTAATGAAATCCACTCTTTACCTTCTCGAGTATCCATCTTCAGCCAGGATCCACTTAAAAAAGTAAATGCTCTACTTCTAAACAGTCAATAGTACAGATTATTCTGATACAGTGAGTAGATGAAGTGATGACAGCTCTTTTACAATACACGGATATCCAATCATAAACGTTTGTGAGTTGGCCATTCAGCAGTTTTATTTGCCATATTTTATTTTTCCTGTTTATCTCCCAACTGAAAGTTTATAGAACGTGTGAATTTATTTCTTAATCATATCGATCAGGGTTTCTGTTTATATATATATATATATATATATATATATATATATATATATATATGAATTATTTTCAAACTGTAATTTCATGTAAACCTTACTTTTTTTGTCGCGGTGTATAATTCTAGGATTGAAGCATCTGGTATTTCTACAATACGCATTGATCAACCAATAATGGATGACTTAAGCGCTCGTCAAAATGTCTACAACATGGAAGGAATGAAAGTTGACTGTGTTGTAATTACAAAGAATAGTAAATATGTTGTAACTGGTTCAGGAATGGGTCCACCACAAGTGTGGGATACTCAGGTAAGCAGTAGTGTGTGCTTAAATGAAGGTAGGCTTTTCTAAATGTAAATATCTTTGCATATAACATTTAAAGCATTTCATCATAATGGGGGCTAATGATTCCTACTTTATAGTGATTTCCCGTTAATATATACATTAGAACGCTGTCCATCGATGCACGTGGTCTGGCATCAATTCCTGGCCCAACGGACTCCTATATCTCGCCTAACTGGTAGTATGCCCAGTTAAATAAGGAAGGTTTGGCGTGAGGTGAGTGACTTCACCCTGTAAAAAGAAAACACCGCTACTGAAATTTCAAAGATCGTGATCAACTGCCATCACTAAGACGAGTGACTTGTATGTTGAGAGTATGGATACTTGTCTAACTCGTCTTGTTCTTTTTTCAGCACAAGCTTTACCTAATAGACATCATATCAGTGTACTTCAAATTGTGTCACCGTCATTTGATATTAGAGTATATTTTGGTTCCTGTGATAGAATTCAATTTCGTATTAAAATCGTCATCCAGTTATCAAAACTGCATCACTGTGTGTTATGTCGAATAAAATTTAGATAAGTATATGGAGTCAGCCATTAAGTTGAATGTTGTTGACTGAAATGACAGAAAAGAGATTTCATGGATGACCGCTAGATTCTACCCCGTTGACTGAAAAATCAGTAAGCTGAACTCGTAACCTGAAGACTCTGAGTTTAATCCCTCTTGGTTAGGGTCATGGAGGCCCACTCCTGAAGGGTCCAAACTGGAAAGAAACGCCTGTCCAGTACTCTTCGGGGGTTTTCAGAGGTTCTCTAACTGATATCAATCCGTGATCAAACTTGAAGTAACAGCATCTGTGTTATGGAAATTCGTCCACAACGAGTAGAACGATTGCTCTTTGGCTAAACCCTGATAATCTGAATAAGGGGAAATCCCTTCAGGATAGAGAGAGTACTTTCTGTCTATTCACACCTAAGCTGGGTGTTTCGCCAAGATGACTCAACGACGTTTGTATCATAGATAATAAGGTCTGATTTTGTCTAAGTATTTTTTCGATAAGAATTAGATTTTTCCTTTGATCCCCTTGTTTAAATAGTTGGGAAAGCTATTCAGGCGGGAAATTTGAAGGACTGCTTTTCATTTCCATTTAATTGGCACCTTTTACTCACAGTTCTACAGCTTACTGAATCATCCATACTTGTGTCGAAAAATATCTCCTCATATTTCACTATACAGGCATGATGGTAAATGCTACCGATTTATGAGTTTTAATGAATTTTAGATTTTTCCCGTCGACTGATTGGACCGAAGTGCTCGGTCTCAGGATGACATCTCGGCCTCTTGTGCAGATGCTTCGACGATGTCTGGGAATTTAGTTAGTATACAATTGGTGGATGGTGACTAGCAGTGGAATCCAGGATGCGCATTTCGTCCTATTTGGCACTCGTCAGCTGGATGTACCTGCATTTCTCAGTGAGTGATGACGTTCCCACTGAGGCTCGAAGCCAGTGCTCATTGTTTCAAACGTCAAAGCGTTATCCACTAAATTAAATAATTAATACGACCCGCTGCACAAGAGTTGGCTCTCGTGGCCCAAGTGATCTAGTCAACCAAATTAAAATGACTTAAACAGTGGACGGCGGTTTCTGATTATTTGGTTGACGTAAGTTGTTCCTAAAGGGCCCATTTGTATCGTCAACATACACCACCTAATTTCAAGTGATTTCAATTGATTCTTCTGTCTGAGCTGAGTTGATTCACGTATTCCATTGATGAGCTAGATTCAAAGAAAGCTAAACGTCCCTCCTTCAATTAGATCACTCCTTATCTGACCTTATAATACGGTTAGCTTTATCACGTACTCGTGGCCAAACCTTTAAAGTTACTATTCTCAATGTTTATCTACGAATAGCAATTGTGAAATTTTGATTCTCATCATAGAACACTGATTACATTTTAAAATTCCCACTGATTTGCGCGTCATCTTTTATACATTTACAAGATTTACGAAACACATATTTATTTTACGTCATGATATACCATTTCTAAACCTATAAAAGAAAAACCATACAGAATTTTCATACATTTGGTTCCCTTGATAAATTTCGATAAAGAAAGGAAGACGAAATTTGCAGTACAAAATGATATCATTCTATTTCGCAGGTTCTCATCAGCTCCAGACTACCTGAAATTACAATGGTTTCATAGTTGATAATAACATACTTAAATGTTTGAGTGGTAGTAGAGAAGAGATACTATAAAACTGACGCATCCAAAATGAAAGCATTACAATGTTTTAGTTTAAGTTTTCATCATCAATTTATACGTTTTCAAAGTTGAAAAGAAGGAGTAGGGGTAAGACAGAAAACAGAAAAAAATTGATTTCATCATGAGCTGACATTAGTTAGAGAAAAAAATTGATTAACAAAACAGTGTTAGCTTGTAGGTCCACATAACAACTCAGGAAACAAAAGCAGTTACAGTTTATGAGGTGAAGATTTGTTCAATGCGTTGAGATCATTGAATTAGATGACTAATCAAAATCAAATTTCTGTTACCAAGGGAGTGAGAGGTTAATCACACTCTCTTTCTGTATGCATAAGAAGTCTGGTTTAAGTTGTTTGATTGCGATCGCTTCGGCAAATCGTAGTAGACTTGCTGTCCTTTGTCTATTTAATATTTTGAAGGACTTAGAAACCTCTACGAGATGTCCGGTATCAACATTGTGTCTTGTAATTGCACTCCGAAAATATTTGCTTCCTTTCAGGAGCAGTCAATTTTATAGTATTTCTTCTCTACTACCACTCAAACATTAAAGTATGTTATTATCAACTATAAAACCATTGTAATTTCAGGTAGTCTGAAGCTGATGAGAACCTGTGAAATAGAATGATAATAGAATGATATCATTTTATACTGCAAATTTCGTCTTCCTTTCCTTATCGAAATGCAGAATTTTTTTCGGTAGCCTTTATCTGATGTCAGAGTTTTGAGTGTTAGCTGGACAACACACTCCTTTTAACTCATTAACTCGGAGAAAGTCGCCCTAAAGGAATGTATGTTTTTCTTCAGGGATCCGAGTCGACGTCACTTTTGCACTGTGAAGTGCTAGAGTCTTTTCCACGAAACATCGGCATAAAGCAGGAATTCAAAGCAACTATCCACACTGTGCAATCATGTTATAAAAATGACAATAACAGTTCTGTAGTTTCTTGTGATGACTCGCTTAAAGTAGTCTTACAGTCAATAAATGACTTGCTAATCTACTTAAAATCTACTTTACCTACATAACTGATATGTTGATCAATCACTAAGCAGTGATGATATCATTGATCATTGATGATGCAGCGCATTTAAGAAATAAGCACCATCTATATGTGTATCCTTCATTTGTACAGATCACGATGCATCGTTTTAATATGATATTAATCATAATCGCTTCACTTCAAGCAATAATTTTCCATACAGTAGAGAAATCTTAACGTCCTATGTATTGCAACAATTTTCATCTCCTTTTACGAATAAATGAAAACATAAAATAGTAGAAATAATAAAACCACAAAAGCTGAAAGTTAATAGAACAATAATAAATGTATTAATAATAATGTTGGTTATAATTTCCTTTTTTTTGGCACTTGTCTCCAAACAAAACCTAAACTGTCAATATGGTATGGCTGAATTCGTATAATTAGCCCTATGAACACAAATTCTTATAAAATTTCTTCTAGCTTTACTGAATGAGCTACATGGAGAAGGCGGTGAATAAAGAGGGGTTGTTCAGTATCTGATATGATGACTTGCAAGAACTAAAGTTTCTGTCAACAATGGTGTCACTTATTTGATTCAAAGGTACATCACTAACCCTGTTCACAGCTATTCAAAGCTCTATATAATATAACATGGTCCATTTTGAGAAGCCTAGGAAAGAATAAAGAGGAAGGATACAGAAGAATAGGCAGAATACATGAATTAATAAATTGTACGAGAAAAGGTTGAGTTAAGCCAATTTCCTAAAGTGATAAGTCGGATGAAAGATAGGAGATGCCTAACAACAATTGGAAGGGAAACTGATAACAAGATAAACGATATACTCACTTTATTTCCTACCTTAGCTCTGTCAATATTCCAGTAATCATGGTGCCGAATCAGTCCACTCAGGTCCTGTTCGTACCTGAAACTAAAATTAGTCGTCTGATATTTAGAGGGAATTGGTTTCAGACGACTTGAGTAAGACTACTGGTTAATACCAGATAAGAAACTATTCACATCAGAATGATCTCATTCAGAAATGGCTGGGACATAAACTGACAGATCTTCAACATATTTAATAATATTGACCTGTAAAGAATACGGTAAGTCAATCAAAAAGAAAGAGGGAAACGGAGAAAAGGGGAAACTACAGCACCTTGTAGGCCACATCAACTCCTTTATTGAGAAAAAATAGAGCACTCCCCGTGAAAATCGGTGTGCTATTTCCAGCCAGAAAAGTAGGAAGACAACAACCTTGTGACCTGGGACTCAATGCGTGCTGAAGTTAGTTTGCTCAGCAAAAGTACCCTGGGAATAGAACTAAAAGCAACAGTGTAGTCTGAAGAAGTCAGATTGAACAATAAAAGGAGAATGCTGGAAAATTATCTATTTGTGGTATGGTATTATTTTTGTTCATTTGTTTATAATCCCTGTGTTTTCTTTCTCTTTTCTTTCAAATAGTCTGGAGATTTATGCAAAATTATGGATGGTCAAGAATTTGGATGTACCGATTTACATTTGGCTTGTGATGATACTGTGCTCGTCGCCCAAGTTGTTGATGATATTGCCGGCTTGGATACGTTGAATGAACCGAGTGAAATTCGTGTGAAGCGTTTACAAGTAAGTCCAAATCAGAGATGAAAATAATAATATAACTAACTGTTTTCTTCTCCTAATGCATTTGTATGTGTCGGTTGACTCAGCTCATCTCAAGCCGCATCAAATAGTAGTACCATATGGGTTGATTACTGAATATATGTGACAAGTAGCTGGATTTATGGGGATTGCTGTTGAAAATAGGCTGTACTCTCTGTTTTGTATACAGAGGTCTGGCTTCAGTACTTTGCTATTTCAAAAAGTTGGAATCGAAGAAAACTTTACGGACATTGTCAGGATTGACTGAGCGACGATAGACAACCAAGTGTGTTGTAGAACAGAACAGCTTCCCATTCTCTCTTTTATGTGTATAACTGAATATCATTTATTCGATACATTGAAAAAAGCTTATATAATCATGAAATATTTCTTCTCCCTTTTGTAACAGCTTTGGGATTTTGCTTCAGGTCGACAACTTGAAATGCCAATGGAGATTATGTGTACAGCGACGTGTATAACACGTTCAAGTGAATATGTGATTGTTGCTCAGGTGACACCAGAAGGACCATCTATACTTGTATGGAACTTACCAGGCAATCAGTCAGATCATATTATACCATATCATCCAGTTAATTCTTTGCTTAAAGATGCTGTCACTTATCTAAATATTTCTATGGATGATCGTTTAGTTGTTGCTGGACTGAATAATCCCACTGATGAATTGGCCTACTTTATGGTATTCGATTTGACTGCAAGTTATGTGGTAAGTGGGTGTACTATGTTAAGACGATCATCACTTGTTTTTATTATTTTAACATGGATAGCTTCAGAACCGCGACTATTGTCATGGGTTTAATCGTTAACAACCTCATGATAGTACACCGCTACTGACACAGCATTCAACCATTAACTGATCTTCGGTCCTCATTGATTAAAAGAAGCATAAGTCAGCAAAGAAAATTCCCTTCCTCACTTCACTTCATGGGTCCCAGTGGCTGAATGGTACATGAGCTCGCTTTGTACGCGAGAGGTCCTGGGTTCGAACCTATGTTGCTCATTCTGTTGAAGAATCTAAAACTAGGACGAAACAGCTGTCCAGCACTCTAGTTGTGTGCGTCCGTCAACTACGCCTCACATGATCCGGGGCTTGGTCCTTGGCGAATGTACTCCGAAACCTCTCTTAGCCAGTAGCAAGCCCGATAGAGAAGGAGGGTTAGGTATGAGGCTGACAACCTCACCACAAAGAATTTAAATACCATTGCTATTGGAAATTCAAAACTCTAAGCTTGAAGCCCTAAGTTCCACTTGGAACGTGAATGAATGAAGTGATAAAAAAATAAGAAACTTCACTTCAAAGCTGTAGAGTTATAAAGTGTTCAATAAGGTAAGAAAATTGCCTGTAAAGACAGTTGTTCATATCAGCTGGTAAAAAAACATATCAAACAAAGTAACAGATTACATAATGTAAAGTCAATGAGTTATGAGTTTCTCTTGAAAATGATTACCATTAAAATTACTAGTCTTTCATTAATTAGCCACTCGGGGAAATCTTAGTTGTGATAAAATCCAGTCAATCACATCTGCAAGACATTCGAAAGCCTATGAGACTTTTCGTTGTGGTGAACTCTGAACTGATGCTGGACGCTTCATAGTAACCTGCAAGAAATCCTAGACGTTGTTTCAGCGTTTATAATAAGTATACTCATCTTGCAATCATCGAAGCTGTGGTTCTTGTGTGTGTCGACTACTGAAGAGTCCTAAAAGTAGAATGAAATAACTGTTCATTACTCTTTGATTTTCAGGGATTTTCTGTCTCCGACGTCATTTCGAGATGAAGTATTCATCATTCACACTTCTATCACACGTAGCTAGTTCGACTGTTTTATGTTTTAATATACTTCAAATATTTATTCATCTATTTACATCTTCATTCATTCTGATTTGACACTAATTTACTAGAAACCTGATGGAGTTTCACTTAATGTTTGCTTACTTCCAATAAGTTAGCCAAATCGCTTAGAGATGGATTTACTGAAGTTACAGTTAGACGTAATAACTGATGTGTTACACAAAGTTGATTGTAATGGAGAACTACTTATTCACCTGTGTTGAATTTCAAAATCTAAGTGTATTGTTAGCCAAGCAACTGCGTTGTAACATGTTTCTTTCCTTACTCGAGTGTTCTGCAGGGATCAAATGTAGCATATATATATATATATATATAAACCGTCACCACTTCCTTCTGCAAACTTGTTAGGTAATTGGCTATTGGCTGATTCGCTGTTCGACAGAGTTCGTTTTTGACTACCCTTTCTGACTGGCTATCTGACCTTGAGCGTCAGACGAAGAGGCCAGGCATTGACGAAAACTTGCAATTACTTGTTGAAAATGCTTTTGGTGAAGCGCACGTGTTAAGCTTCTGAACCATACAGAAGCTCTGTTAAAAATTCCGATCTTGTTCCCTGAGCTAGTTACTGTAGATCTCTACACTGATTTCAGAGTGATGAACACCAGTCTTGCTTTTTCGATCCTGAACGGTGTTGACATTTCCATCCTTGTCACACAGATAAGTGATATAGAGACAACTTCCTTTAGATTTATTCCATCGACGGTGATCGGTGCGCTCGATACCAGTGGTCCCGTATATTAATTACTTCTGAGTTCTTTATGTCCACTTGTGAAGGTCTGTCTTCGTTGCCTGCCTTTGCTACAAGCTTGTTGGTGTAAGCGACATTAGGCATAAGTCATTTACGAAATCTGGATCTTCTAGGATCATTCTGTCTGTCCATTTGTCCGTCGTGTATTTTCAGTTGATTAAACCAAAATTTTCAACCAAACTGGTGAAATGTATTAGCCTACTTTAGTTTTATTCTTGTTCCTTATCTAGTTATGTGTAAATCCAAATCGATCGATACAAGTGGTTTTAGTAGAACATTAAGAAAATATCCACCTATTAGATAAGTAAAAAAAATCAACCATAGACAAGGATCTAGTCAGCCTTTTATTTTCTATAAGTAAAATAAACAGTGTGATATGTATCAGTTTATTATTATTATTGTTCCCTTGGGTTCCTAGTGGAACATAGGGCTTCAACTGCACGTCTACACTTGCTTTTGTCTTCTGCTCTACTTTTTACCTGCATCCGTGTTAGTCCATACTCTTTCAACTCCTCTTCACACGATCTCCTCCATGTCACCCTCGCACTGACATCCCACTCCCCGCTTCCCTTTCGGGTTCCAATCGAGCGATGGCCTGACGCGCGCACGATGTCACCCAGTGGCCTCCTCAGCCAGTATTCAATCCATCTCCACTTTTTCCTGCATATTTGTTGGTTGGCGATTCGTTCTTGTTTTGTTTGTTCCCATAGTTCCTTGTTGGTGATTCTTCCCAGCCCGGTCATATGATCTTCAGTATAGAGCGAAGACAGTTAGTTGTTGATAAAGGTCTGCAACAGGCTGTTGGAAATATTCTTTGTGACCCCCCGCCAAGTTTCTGACCCGTATAGAAGAACTGACTTGACGTTTGTATTGAAAATCCGACTGGATTTTGTTGTTGATGCTGAGTGACAAAGATCTCCAGATTGATTTCAGGTTGATGGATGTGTTTCTCGCCTTCCCGATTCTCGACATCCTCGTCTGTTCCGACTGCCTGTAGTTGAGACAATGCTGCCTAGATCAGTGAGTGAATGAAGTAACTTCTTTCAAATCCCTCCCGTTGATGGTGATTGGCGCTGGATGTTGCTGTTGTTGTTGTTGGCTGGTTATTTTCATAACCTCCGTCTTGTCTATGTTCACATGGAGTCCTGTCTTCACTGTCTGCTTTTTCGACCAGTTCGTCGGCTTTTGCTTGTAAGTCTTCGATTTTGTGTGATATCAAACATAAATCATCCACGCGCGAAATCCAGATCTTCTAGGTTCTTCACGTAGGTTCAGGATATGCCTGTCTTCTAGTTTCCCACTCGCTATCTGAAGCATAATCCAGTCAGTCCACCACAATTAGGAATATCATTGGTGATCATAAGCACCCTTGTCTGACTCTTGTGTTTATTCCAAACGCCTCGCTGAGTTTTCCGTTGCGGATCACTTGACATGTGCCGTTGTCGTACAGCTGTTGAATAAGGTTGATGAATATTTGGGGTACGCCGTAATACACGAGTCTTTTCCAAATTACTCCGCGGTCAACGCTGTCGTAGGTCTTCCCGAAGTCTATAAAGTTGAGGTAGAGGTTGTATCAGTTTAACTCCACATAAATTCTAATACTGTAAAATGAGTAGCATTCAGCTGTATATACCTTGAATTTTTCTAAGGTATATTTTCCATCTTTTACTTTTTTTAAATGCTTTTACGTATCTGTTTTCTTTCATTTTTCACCTTATGCAGTTAAACTTAAACATTTTAATAATTTTAAATTGAATGAGTACCTGCGATCGATTGATCTACTGATCAGTTAGTTACACATATTCTCACTATGTGCCCATGTGTACATTAATTAATTAGTGGAGTATTGATTATTGACGATAGCTGTTCAAATAATTATCTAGGGACTTGTGTTATTGATTTTTATTATTATTACCACTACTTTTTGTCTAATACTGGCACCACCCATGGAGAGACAGTTAACTACATAATTAATTTATTTAGCTTATCTCTGCTGAATCATTTTACTTAGCTGTACTCAAGAAGAGTATTTCAATGCGTACTTGCATGTATACTTATCTAAATAGCATAATTATTTGAGCATATGTTTAGATGATATTTTGTCTAATGTGACACACACACACACACACTCCAAGGCCTATAGGCGAGAACCAACAAGTTGACAAAATAAGCAGTGAAGACAGAACTATAAGTGGACAGAGTGAAGACAGAAATGATGAATAATATCTGACTGCCATCAGCAACAAGAAGCAGCAATCACTATCAAGGGAGGAAATTTGAACATAGTCACTTCTTTAACTTATCTAGGCAGTATCATTTCAGTTACAGGTGATGATGATGATGTCAAAACCATGCAGGACTAGTAAAAGCAAGATAGCAGCCCTTCATTAATCTGAAATCAGTGTGGAAATCCACTGTACTCAGCACAAATAAAGAGTCAAACATCTGCCGTCTCTCCATACTCAGGATTAGATAGCCAGAAGGGGTTAGCACCAGTGAAGTCTAGCAACCAACCAACAAATATGCAGAGGGATATTGGAATGGATCAGACTGTAGCTGTACGACCGCATTTATATACGTTTTTTTTCTATAAAAGAGGATAGTGACAAAACAGATGAAGTGTCATCCATTACCATAGTTGTTGACATTAACCAATACAATAAGAAAAGTTGAATAAGGGGTAACGAGGTCATGCAATGAGACAGATTATTTAGTGAGTGGGTTATATTCAGGTTGTACACAAAAAAATTCCATAAGTTACATCATAATGGCTCGAAAGAATAAAAGAGTTGGAAACATGTGCCACTATAAAAACTAAATCCTGCTGTTTAATATTACACTAACTATTAATGTAACTGTAAGTTAATTCTGAAATTAGGTTATGATTATTAGTCATTATTATCCCCTTAGGTTCTCAGTAGGACATAGGGCTTCAGTAGTATATACCGATTTCAAACTGTTCCCTGCAGCTGACTCCAGGATTTTCCATAAGCCCACATCTCCTCTTCGTACGATATTCCTATGCCATTCTCGGACGCCCAGATTGTGGTTTCATATTTAGATTTCACTCGAGGGCCTGGTGTTTGATGTCACTCAATGTCCTCGGCGTGATTCTGACCCATTCTCATATCCTGCTGCATATATGTTGGGCAAAAGGTCTTTGGTTGGTTCGTTGACAGAGTTTCTTGCTGCTAATTCTTTCCGACCGGCCATCTGAGACCATGTGATACTTGATACAAATTGGACACGATGTGCGTCGGTGGCACAGCAGTTAGGACTCTTGCCGACCATGCAAATGGTCCGAGGTTCGATCCCCCGCCGACGTACAACTGATATCAATTGGTCGGCCTGCAAAATTCAGGCTACCGATATCACATGCTGAAAATTCCATACTTGAACCAAAAATACTGTGTGGAATTAAGCTATAATCAAAAAATAAAAAATAATGGGGCGGAATTCAAGCTGCTGTGCTTGATCATATATATATATATATATTTGTACATCAGTGGTTCAAGGTTAGAATGTTCGTCTCAGGTTCAATTCCCGCCTGACGCACTTCTGAACCTCATCTACAACTAGTAGTAAGCCTGATTTCATACGGAAAGTTGAGTCAGTGTGAGGTTAGCAACGTCACCCTGTAAATAATATAACATCATCGCTACTGAAACTTCAAAGCTTAAAGCTCGAGGGTCAGTTTTCCAAACTCAGAAAAGAGAGGAACGAAAAGAAATCAACCATATCCATTTATTCGACATGACATATTGCAAAAGAAGTCATTTAAAAAAGCTAACCAAGTAGACAGATGTGTAGAACTAATAAAATATTTACCATATGGAAGTTATTTCCTATCCATTTCCTAATTCTATTTATGGTTATTAATTAATGAAGAAGGTGAAGGTTAATTTATAACATACTTTTTTACTTGTCGAATAACTGGATTACTTCTGTTACTACAACAACAACTGCTACTGTGTTGCATATAAATCTTGCCTGTTTCATTGATTGTTGTTATGGTATTTTGACTATTATTGATTGCTAAAAGTCATTGTCTGAAGTGAAATGGGTGAGAATGAATAATGAGTGAATCAATAAATGTCCGAATGTATGTATCTATGATAGAATACTACATACATATTTTATAGGATGACATTATTAATTATAGGAATAAAAAGTTTGACAGTATACAAAAGCAAGCAAAGAGAATTCAATGCATGTATAAATCTTTTTCAACTGTGACCACGAACTGATTCCAGCTAGAAAATGATTGTAAACCAGGAAGTATGCCAGTTCAGATTGTAATCTGAAGGTTCTGGATTCAATTCAATGGTAGGGTCATGGGTGCATACTGCTGACGAGTTTCAAACAATTACAGCTATATATATATATATATATATATATATATATATATATATATATATATATATATATATATATATATATTGCAAGGATTTGATTGGTACCAGTTTTGAACAAGAATTGAATTCATTTAGAGATCCATTATAAACGAAAAGTACTGGATAGCTGTTCCGTAATTGTTTGAAACTCGTCAGCAGTATGCACCCATGACCCTACCATTGAATCGAATCCAGAACCTTCAGATTACAATCTGAACTGGCATACTTCCTGGTTTACAATCATTTTCTAGCTGGAATCAGTTCGTGGTCACAGTTGAAAAAGATTTATACATGCATTGAATTCTCTTTGCTTGCTTTTGTATACTGTCAAACTTTATACATATATACCACCTGAGACGGTCAGCGAGTGTACTGTCCATTGAGAATACTAAAAAATATGTGAAATCAATAATCTGAAGTCTGATGACTTAGGACTGTTGGAAGCATTTATCCTTATTTAATCAGCGGAAGTAGATACATCTTGAGTTAATTTCGATCCGTTAATGTACTATTTGGCTACCATATGAATAACAGAGTATTCTTTGTCAGATAATGTCTAATTCCATTGATCTTAATAACTTAGGAAGTTATCGGTAGGAATATTCTTCATTTGGTCTTTTTGTCTTCTGGAGTAGTTTTATCTGTGAACAGCTTACTGATGCACAGTGTGTTGTCTAGCTGATGAGACTATTTTACAATTAAATGAGCCTTTTTTTTTCTTTAAATAAATAATGACTTGAGTGAATTTTTCCAAATTCTATTTTCTTCCTTTATTTTTCTTATCAGGGTGTACATCAGCCTAAGTTTATTACATTCAATGGTAAATGTGAAGCCACTGAGATAATCGGCAACGATGAAGCTGTTACTGGTAAGTTTTTCTGATTTCAGTAATTGAAAATTGGTTTTGAATTACTACTCGACGATTAAACAGTCCCGGTCAGCAACTCACATTTCACACAGGATTACTTGGGATTCTGAAACTGAGGGAAAGAGTAGCTCGTCTGGCCACCTCTTATTGCATTGATAAATCCAGTTGCTCTTATACAGAAACAGTTATATTGGCCGTTGCTCTAGGGACTTAATTTTTCCTTGTCAGGATCACTTACCAGTGTGACTAAGTAGAGGTCTAGTTAAAACCATCAACATTTCCATAGATCACCTAGTATTAGTCACGCCCAATCTCCCCTCTTTCCCTCCCAGTAGAATGCTTTGTTTTCTGTACGAATGCTGAACTCTGTTTCAAACTGAGTGCATTTCCTTTACTCTCTATTGTTACTAACTGACTGTTATTATGTTCAGTATGTCTGTAGTCTTAGTTTTGCGATAGAGGTGACCAGTCCTGAGATTCTTGATGAGTACTGATGAAGAGTCTCAAAATGGGATGAAACGGCTGTTCAGTACTCCCTGCTGGTTTTTAGTGGTCCTCTAACTTAAGTCAGCTTGAGATCATAATTAAATTTTTCTTCTGAAATCACTGGCTCGTTGAAGTATTGTTCATGTTAAATCGGGAATTTCTCTGCTGAAACTATAATTATATTGACACCTATCAATTTTTAATTTCTTTCAGTTAAAGATTTCGTTAACAAAATTTTCACTACTGCACTTGTCATCATTTTTACTGTATTAATGTCTCATTTACCAATAAGTGAAGGCAACCGAACACCAGTCCAAAAACTGACTGACGCTGCTAAACATGCATACTCTGAACTGCAAATATTCTCAACTGTCTCACTAACCAAGTTGCTAGGGCAAAAAGACAGTTGTTGCCAGAAATGAAATAGTGTGCACACTGTTCTTCCCCAAAACACAGAACGATTTTACCGTCATTCTAAATACCTAACTAGGATTTCGCTAAAATCGGCTAGATAAGGCTGAAGTGTTGAGAAAGAGTCTATGCTACTAATGAAAGGCACATTGAAGCTATAAAATGTTATACATCCAATATTTTTCTAAATGGTCACTAGTGTACCTACCTAACATAAGCTTTGTTTATCGAATCAACTGCATATACATGTAATAGGAATGATTCAACACCTGTCTTAGGTATCTGGAAAATTCTACTACCCCGACGGTGACAAATAGGAGAAAACAAAGAAAACTATAAAACTCAAGTTTCAAAGTCGTATGATTACAATTGATATGATTATTAACAATAAATTTCGTTCGAAACGTCATCCAGTAAATAATACTGTTTCACTGTGTGATATATCTAATAAACAAACTAATATGGAATTACTTAACACCACAGAGCCCAAGTTTTACACATATATTATTATCTGTCTATCTGTTAGTCAAAACATTTCGGTCAGATGTGCAATATGACTTTTTAGTTAGTGTAACACGACATTGTTGTACGTTCTTGGTGAAAGGATGGATCAGTCTTCAGGGCCTAAATAGCCTAGCTACAAAATATTTAGTTTTCCCACTGAGTCCTGTATTCGATCAGAGGTTTATTCGAATTTCTAAGAGAATGTACATTTCAGCTAGTCTGTAGTCACATTTACCAATAACGTTTGGTCTAAGTAAAACAGGTCTCACTGTAAAAATATTTTTCTCACCTCTCAACATGGAATTACTTAGTTTCTAACAGTTCATTAAAGGTTTGATATCGAGCTGATATCAGTCTGAGATCCACTGGAAACCAGAAAGTACCGGTCAGTTGTTTTTTCCTAGTTTGGAACGCTTCAGTAGTAGGCAGTACCTACTCTACCAGGGGTTTTAGCGTAACTTGAAAACAAACAAATCCCTACCCACAAGCGACTGGAAGTATAAAGGAAGTTACCTGATTTGATGAGAAGTCGTTATCAGTAGTGTCCACCGATTCAGTTAGGAAAATCTTTACTCCTCTGCGATATTGGCTGGGGGTCGGGCTTTGTATATTGCAAGTTTGTAGAAGCTAGAACTCATGGGTTATCGGTTAGTGTCCCAGTGGCTGAATGGTCTACGAGCTCGTCTTTTCACAACCGGGAGGTCATAGTTTCAAACCCTTGTGTTTTGTATTGTCGAAGAGTCTTGAACGAAAATGAAACAATTGCTTAGAACTCCATGGTTTTCCTATGGCTCTCTCACTGATGTAAACCCGTTATCAAGCCTGTAGCCAATCAAGTCATTGTACACCAACACTTGAAAATTCATTAAAAGTCAGGTATGGAAGTGTTTATCAGTTCCAAATTTATATATGATCGATAGCAGTGAAACACTATATCATTTTTTTACTCGAGTAAACTATTCTGCGACTTTTTTTACAGCCGCGTGACTCTTAGAATACACGAATTAAGTTTCAAGGAGAAACTTAATTTCGACGCAATGAGTTTCTTTAGCAAAATCTGAATAGTACTTTTTTCGAAGTTGTGATACAGTTGAGCAATATATTTCAGATATTTGGATGACACATGTTTTCTTATTCCTTCGCTTT